TGTATATGTGTGTATATATAAATATATACATATCTGTTTGCAAAAATTCAGACAGATGTGTCAAAACTGCTAGATTTAAAAATCTACACAAATACATAGGTCTAATAAAAACCACAAAGAAGCAAAATATTCTGCATTGTAAAACTAATTGTCACGTAGCTTCAGCTTCCCTGAGCTGAATCTTAGTTCAAAAACAAAACTAAAAAACAAAAATACACCAAAAACAACTGCTGATGATAACAATAAAAAACATCACAGACGTGAAAATGAGTATTAGTGTGATTGCAGGCAGTCATGATTTGCAAGGGATTAAAAAAATATATATAAAAAGTACATTTTTCTAGTTTTGCTTAATAATAAACAGATAAATGCATATGCTGCACAGAAATCAGTGTTTTCTGAACACTCTGTATACTGTGGGTATAAATAATCTGAGGTTAGAGCAAAGTTTCGTCACTTTGAATTCATCCTTATAAAACTACAAGCTGATTATAACTAACAATATGTCACTATATTTCCACAAGATGAGTTAAATATGTTATATAATATTCTTTTCCAGGGGAAAACAGCTTACCAATATTGTCCTCTTCACCACTTGGTATATCTGGACTGTGGACAGAGACACGGGCCAACGATGCCAGCTCCCATACAAAGCTTTCTTCTGCCTCCTAATGGACACAACAACAAAGTGCTCACAGAAAAGTAGTGTTGCATCGTAAATAAATCCATTCCCCTATCAACAAGTGGAGAAGTGCAGCATACAAACCATCAATTCTGTTTTTATCCTCTCCACTGTCTGATCAAGAGCTACTTTCCTCCTCCTCAGCTCCTCGTTCATAAGCTCCTGACTCAAATCGATCTGATCCAGCACCTTGTTTTTATTTAGTTCAACCCTAAAAACGAACACAAACAAGAACAAACTATAAGCTATTCTTCTTTAATGAAGATACTCCACCTAAAATACATCAACTGGCATCAAACCTGTGCTGAAACTCAGCAGAAACAGGATTCCTGCCCCATTTCTCAAGCTCCCTCATCAAGGTTCTGCTCAGCTGACTAAAGCAGTCCTGCCTCTCATCGGTCTCTGGTGAAAGATTACAACAGCAATGTTACAATGCAAATATCCTCTATGACATGCAGTGTTCTTTTTATTGTCTCTGTTTACATATTAAAGCAACATAAGATGTATTTAACAAACCAGAGAGATGAATTAAATCAAGACGTACTATAAAACACTTCCACTACACACAGCCTTTGTTGAGACAGAAACCAGAGACTTCACTCAGGTTTTACACATACATCTTACCCTGGTTTACATCTGACAGGTCCTGCTCCAGTTTACTGGATATGTCCTGAAGGTGAGAATAGTAGCTTCGAACCAGAGCTGCTAGAGAATCTTTGGTCACGTAAACACTCTCCGCTGCAGCCTCTGTCAAATAGTGCTAACATTGTGGGGGAAACAGAAAAAAGTCTGCAACTTACTCAACATAACAAAAAATATATTAATTCTTTCAACAAAATAAAACTAAAAGACAGTTTGAACATTTTAAGTGAGGTTCACTGGAGAGGTTGTGAACAATTATTATTTTACTTTTTGTAGAAAAAAACTCAAATCTTCCAGTTTTTACACCAGTTCATGCTAACGCTACTTTTTAATCTACTACACTACAGCCTACCTTACATTACATGGTTATTTCCATAGAAATGTTATTATATTCATGCAGGAAATGCTACAGCTACCTGCTGCTGCTATTTGAAATTATTTAAATGATTAAAAATATAATTGAAATAACCATGTAATGCAAAACTTAAGATAATGTAGAAGTTCAAAAAAAACAACTTTTTCCAAGTTGGAGTCTCTGCAGTACATAGGGGGAGTGTCTTGTTGTGTGGGCGGAGCTTTTCCTAACCTTAAAATGGCAGAGTTCTTTGTGTGTGCGGAGTTTGACCTAGAAGTGATTGGCAGAGTTCTTGATGTGGGCGGTGTTTGTCCTAAATTTAGATTGGCGTAGTTTGGATAATAGGTTGAGGTTGGGTGTGGGCGGAGCTTGGTAAAAACCGTGATTGGTCGGATTGACCAATTTAAAGGTGAAAAAAATGGTAATAGTAAAATTATTGTAAATATGATTTATTTGCTGTCTATGTACAGTTTAAAAGAGAGCAATGTCTCAAAAATTATTGTGAACATGCAAACACAATTCCTGTATCGTTATGACCAATATTACAAAATATTTATATAAAACAATGTTTTTACAGGCTGGTTAGCCTCTTAAGCCCCAAGGAGTTTTCTTGAAGTTTTTGCTCAAAATGACGTGCCGAAATGTAAATGAGTGTATCTCAGTATTTACAAACTCTACTTAAATAATTTTGGTATCAAAATAAAAACACTTGGGAGATTTCATCAGAAGTGTAAGCATTAAAACAGCTGCTGTGGATTTAGAGATATTGGGGATGGAACATAATTTTAAAAAATCTTCTCACTCTCACCTGAAAATTTATTTCATTAGACAGTATATAACCCATTTAAAACTATAATGAAGTAGGCTAAAAACTCTTAAAAACCATAAATCAACTTGTGGACATTATCTGCACAAAGATTCATGCTGCTAAAATGAACTGGAGCAAAGTTACAGAGGTTTTTGTAAAGCAATAATTTTGCATTTTGTCATTCTGCACAGG